AGTCTTGAACATTGTGCTAAAAAAGATGTTATCTTTTAAAAGTTAATTTAAAAATTTTTTTTAAACTAAAATTTATGAATATTTGCAAAACCTCTAAAGCCAAACAGCACAAACTTTTAAGAATCTTTAACTTGAGATGAAATTTTGAGAAGACAGGTAAAAGTGTAAATAGATGCTGAAGGAGACAAGAAACTAGTTTTCTCATAAATAACATGATTTTTTTAAATTATACAGCTGATGGATATGTTAAAAATCTATAAATCTTTAATCTATAAAAATCTTTAATCTATAAAAACTCACTACTCCAAAATCATTTTATGACCAGCCATAGTTAATTGATTTGCAAAAAAAGGACTTTATCGCTTGAGATAGATTGACTTCCATACCTTCATTATGTCAATCACACTTTGATTAACTTGGTATAGATATGTAATGAAAATTTAGCAAAATTTAAATGTTTTGATCTAAAATGTTCCAATAAGGCAAGAAAATAGTTTGTTAATCCAAACTATTGATGTTCTAGTCAAAAAGTGAATTTCGAAACTAAAACATTTTAGAACTAACAACGACTGAAAAGTCATTGATCAAATTTTTTCTTTTTCTTTTTTTTAAATATTTCAGAACATGACTTTTCTAACAGTTCTGTGGTTCATAAAAAATTGAAATGAAAAGCAAAAAGAGATTTATAATGAAATAAAGTTGGTAGTGAATAACTGCAACAGCAAAAGAATACGATGATGGAATGAATAATTGGTTGAATTACGTTGTACCATGAAAAGATTTTAATTTTTATTCGACTTTAGTGTCTGGAGAGAGTTATAGTCACTAACGTCCTTAATTATCATTTCAAGCTTACTATCTTTGATCATTAGGTAGAAATATAACTTGCCAACTGCTAACTTAATTTTTATGCACTGATTTGAATTTAAAAATTTAAATTAGGATTGGAGTGCGTTACAATTACTATTTCTTTGTAGACGGACAGACATTATGATTATTTGCATTAGAAATTAGATTTACAATATAAGAGATTTTAACAACTCAAAGTGTTAGGAACACATTTTTGAAACTTCTCGTAAACTGTAATATGGCTAAAAGATCATCTATTTCAACTTCAGAAGTGATATTGAATACTTATCTAGAATATTGATCATCGCTGGTTACAAGGACAAGAAGAAATTTGTCGAAATTAAAATCTGCTGTTGAAAAAGATGAAGATTCAACCAATTTTTCAGTTTTACATTCTGTTCAAAACCAAGCAAGAAATTTTTGTCTGGAAATGCTGCTGTTTCAGCAAGAAAGAGATAAAATTTAATAAAAAGATGACAAGGATTGATGCAAATAGTACGAACTGTGGAATATGCAAACTGTGAATTTAAATTTTTAGATCTTTCATTACATTTGTTATCTTTTAGGCGATCTGTACTACTTATTTCTGTGTAGAAGGGACATTCACTGGTTCCATTACCACTCTTTTCAGTTTTTGTTTGAAAGTGACACTTCATTTATTTGAAACAAGAAATAGTGAAGAATGTAAACAATGCCTGAATTCCCCTATAATATCACTTACTCTAGGGATATAGCATCTCGAACCTTTGTGGGTCTTCCCGTTTAAACATTTTATGTCCTTTTTTTTTTATTCACAATATTTATAGCTCATCAAAAAATTCCTCATACACATTTTAAATTAGAAGTCGAGGGAGAAAAAAAAAAACTATCAGTAAAGCAATGTTTAAGTTTGAAACAATCAAAAAATACAGAAAGAAGGAACAGAATGATTCGTTTACTTAAAATTATCTAAAAATGAAGAAATAGCTGCGATCGACAGGTTTTTTTTATCATGCAGTAATCTAAAGTTTACTACAGAATTAAACATAAATTTATGATTTGCTACAACTTTCAACTAGAAAACAAGGGATGGATATGAGATAATAAAGTGTAGTAATGTTGTCATGGTAGCATATATATGTGTACATATGCTTAAGACTGTTGCAGTACTTACAATGAGATGTAAAGAAGTGATTATTATTGTGTTAATTATATTACATTAATAATTAACACAACGGTAATAATTTTTGCATTCCTTGTCTCACATTTTCTGCTATAATATTCGTTAAAAAAATGTCCAGAAATGTGCGTTGCTTTTTGACATAAAAATAAATTATAAATAATAGTTCGGGATTTCACTCTCAAACTAATAAATCAAATCATCTTTAAGGGACTTTTTTTTATTTTGATTTAGTAATGCTTCAAATAGTTGTGTTAGTTTCCGAATGGTATTTATTTATAATTTCATCTTTTGGGTTAAGCAATGGAATTTCAATGAAATTCGATGGAACAAATTTCAATCCTCTTTCAGATGAACAACATGAGTTAGTATAAATATTTTCAATGCATAATTCGGTTAGTTTTTTTGGCTTCTGAATTAAAGCAAAGAAAAGTTGACTTTCTTTTTTTGAATTAACTATTTTATTCTGTGTTTTGCGAAATATTCTGCTGAAGACGAGTAAAAAATTCAAGCAAAAGAACCGGAATTATTCTCTTGAGGAATCATTCAGTTACAGAATATAGGAAAAAAAGACATTTCCTCAAGGGATAATTAACAAAAGGATATATTCCAACAAATGAAAGGATTCTTAGGGACGCTTCATTTCGATTTAAGTCAAAATCTTTGAAATTGTCATGTCTAAATTATTCATAATCACATTAGCTATGCTTTTTTAACTACTCGTAATTTTGCTAAAAGTACGATGCAATTATTGCTGAAACGATAAATTTCACCTCTGTGAAGCTTTCAAAATAAGCAATTTTTGGAACCATTTAAGCTGAAGTGATAATTGGAAAACCAGTTCGAAGCTTTGTTCTATTTAGAGTTGTGTTTTTGCTGTGATGAAAGAACAGACCATCAAAACTTTAGTAGTATTGTTTATAAATATAATACCTACCTAACAAAATTTAGGTACTGCGGAAGATACTGCCACTCCAACAATCAATCATCTTCATAGAAATTTTAGTAAAACCGAATTGATTTTGCCAGAGCTCTTTCTTTCATATATTCAGACATTATGAGTGAGAACTGACATTTGTATTGCAAAATCCTTTCAGCTATTGTCCTCCATTTTATCAAAGTTCTTTAAATGACCTATCATTTATTCTTTCAATGCAGGATTTTATTGTTTCAGGTACTTAAAAAACGGCGGTGACTCATTTATAAATGAATACTACTTAGGGACAAAAGGATTCATAAAATGAAGAAGTTAAGTTAATATCGATCCATAGGATCTTTATACAAAGTAAATTCCAAAAAGTTATGCAAACTTCCAAATTAGCAATAACAACTAATGTTTCATGTAAATCGATTTTAAAAAAATTCAAGAAAGTAAATAAGAAACATTTACCATTTCCACGAAAATGAGATGATCATATCTGAGAAAATGTTTGCTTTGTGAATTGGAAGAAATAAGAACAAAAATTTGTTAAGATCATAAAATTAAGTAACAGTTTGATGACGTGAAGACAAATTGAACCATATCTTGACAAATTAAGAATTTTCATCTGAATTCTCTCTTTTTCAAATTCTGACGAAAGAATATCCGACATATTTTTTCGCATTGCTTTTATTGTTTTCTCTTTATTTCATTAATTATTAGTGTAAGTATTAAGTACAAGAGGTGAAGATTTAAAATTCATAGGACAAGTTTTAACAACATTTGAAATATCGACAAACTTTCATTACCATTTTTTTTTGTGCTCAATAATTCTCTTATCAGTTCTCAAGAAGTAAACCATCTAATTTTCCCTATTTGCCGAACTTCTACGAATTGAACTAATGTGTTATTATCCATTAACAATAACGGACACCTGCAGTGATGTGTAATTTAGACAATCATCTCAAAACAAAAGCAAAAAAAAAAAAAAAAACTTATGGCTTTAACTTCTTGGGATAGTTTCGCTCAAAACCCGAGAAAATAACACCAACATCTGGAAAGCGACTATTCTGTTCTGGAGAACTAGTCTTTGAAATTAACTTGTCGTATCTAAAGAAAATATTAATAGATGAAGATAAGTAGATAAGTAGAAAGACAATGTTCCACATTCCAATTTGCATGAATTTATGAGGATTACTGCAGGAGGGTAAGCTTGAACAATGATTTGCGAATGGTTTGTGAAAAAGGACTAGGATTAAGGGAACAAACAATAAAATGGTAAAAAAGTTGGACAAGAAAATTTGACTTGAATCCCGCCCTCTTATCCTTTTTTCATGCAGGAATACGGAATATTCCGTCAAATGTTCAATTTGCTTTACCGTGTTTAGGCCAGATTTCCAAGTGTAGTACACCATTACTGACAGTTTATATTCATTCAGACACTGACTAGTCGATTCCTCGAACAGCTTATGATTTTTTGGCTATTTACCTTAATTTATCAATGAGTTATACTATCATTAATCTTAAATAAGAACAGAATGGTAAAATCACTTATCATGTTATGTGAAAATATTAATCGTGTTTCCTAGGGAATTAGGACAAACAAAACAATTTTTCTTCTTTTAATTTAAGAAATAGCAGAAGACAAATTTCAAACTAGACAACAGATGTGCAACTGAAATGAGGAAATGCTTCTGCTTAGAAATAATTCATCCACTGATCAACGGTAATACCACAGAAACAGTTCTGACAACAATCATACAGTGTGCAAATAAGAATTTTGAAATGATCGCAATAAGTTACTACATAAATTATTACTAAAAATTATTCGAACAAACCATATCGATAATCTGAGATGATTGTTTTCTTTCAAACTTTCTCTTTTAGGATTTTTTACAGGAAATCTCTTATTCCTAAACAACTTTAATAACAATTTATTCGCTAAAAAGGATCTATACTCATTAATTTCGTAATTCCATTAAGACAACGTTCATTTTCAAATGTATGCTGGTAACAAACATGTATTTGCATCAGCAGATGAGCATAGAAGAGAATAAAATAAACACATGCATATCAAAGATTGTCAGACTTGAGAATAGGGATTTGCGAAGTTCGTTGCCGATATGACGATGTCAACGGCTGTTTAGGTGTGCCGGGTTGAGATCGGTTTTCGATACTACACGCACTAGAACAAAAGTAACATGAGCCAGATAAATTTGTTGCTTGATTTGCTTTCGATACATTATTCGCTAATATTTATTAATTAGAAAAATTATAAATTCGGAGAAGTTTGCAAACCAGATAGATAACCTTACATTGAAAGCGATGAGCAAAACGGACAGAAGTAAACAATCAAGCCTGTGCATATATTTTTTTGCTATATATGTGTATGCGTGTATGTATGTATATGTGTGTATGCATATATATATATATAAATAACATGTCAATAGACATGTCTGTGTTTTTCATAAGTGTACGCTCACCTTGCAGGTGAACGCTCATCAACAGAAGCACTGCATGCGAGCATATTCCGAGTTGATGTATTATGTTCGCTTACATTTCCTGTATATGTAACTCCAGTGCCGGACGATCCTTTACGTGTTTTTCCACCAACGGATCCCAATCCTGTTATCATATGGGTTCCACTTTCACTTATTATCAACGACGGATTTCGCCTATGTGGAACTGGCGATTTCAGATAAGCTAAAATAAGATTAAGAATAGTCTTTTGCAAGCCACTTACAAATGCTGTTCTTTGTTCATCTTCATATGAATAACAAAAAAAAAAAAAAAAAAAAAAAGATACGAAGGAGAAAGATTAAGTGTCTGTAATTTGCGTACTGCAGAGAGTGTTCAAAAATTTGAAGTACATCAGTGCAATGAGGATAACAAGTTTACGGACGTGCTAGTGTTTTTACTATTTATATACCAAGATAATAATCGTTTTCAACAACAGTGATAAATTAGCTGCGCATGCATTGAATAGTTACCTACCTGAAGTACTTATAAGTAAGCAAAATAAGCGATGCAATTTTCTTTGGTTTATTTTTGTTATGCATGCTAACTAGAAGTGAATGATAGCACTTATAATGTCATCAAAATGTAATCAAGATCAAAAAATGAAACATCCATTAGAAACAAATTCTATAAAGAATTAGAAATCAACTAAGTAAGTACCTGCCAAGACGTTTCTTCGAGATCTCTGATAAGTTAAATCGTTGCTAGATGGTAGTGCATGTCGTACATCACTTGCTGAGCGTAAAGTATACTTATCAAACGTGGAATTTGTCTCAACTCTTTCCTGAATTAATCAGTATTAGACTTTAAATAATACTAAAGGTTACCTATAAAATAAGAGCGAAGAGTAATGAAGAAGTTGTACCGTAGTCTGACTTCGAACATGTGGGATCGCTGTAGCTGTATTAGAATCTGAATCAGAACAGGCACTACTAACACTCGAATCGGAAAGCCTCCTGGGACGCACCATTAATGCTATGCTTCTGTCAGACCTGAAGAATTATAACAAGCATTAATGAATTAATGACATAGTAGTGCACTAATTCTATAAAAACATGTTATTGACAGCCAGTACATATTCTTTGCGTATTCTTATCATTGTTGTCCTATTTTATTTAGCATAAATCTGAAAATGTTAAGAATACAAGTGCAATAACCTTTGTTGAGATGCTTGCAAAATAGCTGTGAGATGGTCAACAAGTCTCCTGAATCGTCTAACTGGACCAGCAAGGAGCGCAAATTGGACAACATACATAGGAGTTTCGTCATCTGACGCTGTTCTGTGGGCCGCTTGGACAATATCTACCTAAGAAATAGTAATATTAAAAGTAATAAACACTTCTCTCCAATATATGCATTTTTTTCAATCAAATCAATTTACCTGCATTTTGACACCACGCGAAAAAACACCACCACCAACAGTCGGTCCACGCTTGTATTCAACACGAAATGAATTCTGACCAACAACAGAATGGCTAAGCTCGTGGATCTAAAACAAATATTAGTGCATATCGAATAGCAATTATGAAATAAGGTTTGATTACTAACTATATGAGTTCTGTTTCAGAATAAATATCTTTGTATCACTTGATGAAAAAAAAATTCCTGTACGTGTACTGCAGTGGTGAAATTCTTTCTTCACAAGGAAGCAATTATTAATGTTTAATTACAAAGCAATTACTACTTGGAAAAAATCTTTTTTTCGAAAATATCAAATTTTTGTTGTATTAACCGTTAGAAAAGCGCGTATAAGTTCAGCTTTTATGGTATTCACTGTCTTCCCATGAGCAGGTACTTGCACATCATTCCGCTCAACACTTACACTTGATGCAAGGGATCCAAACCATGACTTCTTCACCAAACTAAATGGATAGATGAAAGTTAACATTCATATTAAAAAGTATTCGAAGCAAGGAAGCGATGATGGGAAAAACTTTAACCAGAAGACTAAATTTAATCAAGATTTATTAAAACAAGAAAAAAAAAATTTCAAGATCACTAATTATTAAATTTCGTTATTTTATCTCTTCTGCAATATTTTAAGTCTAGGAAAGCAATCATAACAACTGTATATCTTATAGTAGTAAGTTAAAATCATTTACTCGGAGGATTCTAACATTTGATTTTCTTCAGAATCACTCTCTCCAGTTCCGCTACTTCCACTACTCAGTTTTCTACGATGAAACCGTGGTGTTCCCAACAGAGAATTTTTGATATTCGATAACCGTCGCCATGGTCTCGACGTACTAATTGTGCTACCTGTAGAAAATACAAGTATTAATTTGTGCTACCTGTAGAGAATAAAATGCAATTTATGGGGACGAATTAATGCCCATAATAAAAACTGTGCTCATACTCAGACTGTTTGTGGATGCATTTGTAGAACCAACACTCGAGCTTGAACTCATCTTTGTTTCAGGCATCATATTTGAGCCAGCTTTTGAATGTTGAAGATTCCTTTGAAGATGCTGTAAATAATTCTTATTCATTAAAAATGCCAATTAATATTAAGGAGTATTTGTTATATGAACCAAGCACAGAAATCCGTTTCTGACAACAGATTAAGTCGATTGAAATACATGCATTTCTTCAAGTTCATGATGTCCAATAGACAGCTAAAACTAACAGCAACTTTAGTAAATGTTAAACCTTATCATCGATACTGGTACGCACTCGTCTTGCTGCAACAGCTAATGCTTCTGGATCAACTGGTTGGGTATAATAGTGATAGTTGCTAGCACGCGCGGAAATTCTAAATTCCACCATTTATAACAATTTTTCAAGTTTATTCTCCTAGATTTCCAGGATTTAGTTTAGAATTTGGAATAAATTTTTTGATTAAAACAAGCCTTCCATGTTCTTCGACTTGTAAAGCAGCATTACAGATTTGTCGTGAAGATGGCGTTAAAGGACCAATACTACCACCGATCGACTCACGTGGTGATGAGCGAGTCGAACCATTTGGAGACCCACCAAGTGAGCAGTGTCGACCTCGGTTGTATCGCCTTAAATCTTTTCTCTCATATAAAACAAAAAGGAAAACACATGAAATTAAGAAAATAAACGTGAAGTTTTAAAAAACGAAGAACGTCGATTTAAACGAAATGGAGAATTCAGCAACTAATCTTACTACCCGTATGTTTTTCGAGGATTGATTGGAGATCCTTCACTGATTGAACCAAATGGATATCTGGAGAGTCTAGAAGAATCAGTACGTTTCCGCGGTGGATCATGACTAAGATTGGAACTACGAAGAATAACCTGAAAAATTGCATAATTTTTGCACTATTTATGAATCTTTAAGATTGCTAAATTATCAAACCACTGCTAATTGCTAAACAAATATTTTTCTGCAAATATGATTTCAAATTTGCAAAAAAAGCACCTCAGTTTCATCTTCGTGTGCGGGTCTACGCCTTTTTCGATCTAGCAACAAGAAATAAACCATTTTCTCTGTGTTATGTCTGCAATAGCGTAATTTACTCAGCAGATTTAAATGTATAAGTTATAGTATCAAGGATTCTTGACGTGTAATATCAATAAATCAAGGATTCTTCACGTACTAAAGATAAATAATAATGAAAAAAGAATATATTGAGTAGATACCTTGGAGACAATAGTTCTCGGATCAATTTTTCCTTATCCTTGAAGCACCCCAAATTAGTCATATGTCGAAAAACATCCGAATCAATATTTTCTTCGCTAGGAATTATATACGTCTGAAAGAAATCTTTTTGATACGACTACACTTAATGACGTTCCTTACCATGAAAAACATATTCAAAACATCAAAAATTACCTGTACAACTTGTGCCATCGGTAGTTCAAGTTCCATTTCAGCTTTCGAACTATCAGCAACCCATGGATGTTTGAATACTTCGCTTAACTACAAGTTAAATATTATCTATTGATATGAATTGGTTTTATTAAATAGAACATGGTTTATTTTAATTTACACAGTAAAAATTGAATAATCTTCTTTTAAAGTAATTTTGGAAAATTTTTATTGCTATTAAAAAGTAAAATCGATGAAAAACAGTATCTCACAGAAAGCCGCTTTTGTGGATCAACTTCGATCATAGTCCTGAGAAGATTCTGGCAATCAGCTGGAACGAAATGAGGGATATGGAAAACTCCTTTCTTAACTTTTTCTAGCAAGTTACGCAGATTATCATCGTCAAAAGGCAAAGCACCCTATAAAATGGTTGAATTAAAGATATTACATATACTTAGATGAACATTTATTTAAGCTATTGCAAATAATGCAAATAATTTATTATACAAATAAGCGAGAAATAAGTTATAAATACACGACTGCTCATCAAAACAAAGATGATATTACAAATAAAAAAACTCACAACTAATAAAGCATACAAAATAACACCGCAAGACCAAACATCAGCCTTCCGACCATCGTATTTTTCTCCCTAAAAATAAGAAAATTTTTGAATCATCGGAAACCGACTGATTTTTGTTAATGAATATTAAAAAACTAAACTACAAAAATCAAATGTTCTATTAATAAAGAATATCTCAAATATTATTAAAGTTCATTAGGAATGAAAAGTGCGACTTTTAAATTTCAAAAAATAACATGAGGAATAAATGATGAAAATTATACACTCATTGTTAAAATTAATGAAACTTATTTGAACCCACCATAAAACTGTTTTTACATACCCGTATAACTTCCGGACAAGCATAATGTGGAGACCCGCAACTGGTCTCAAGCATTGAACCTTCAACTTGCAAGGATGCCATCCCAAAATCAGCAACCTGAAATATCTCTTTTTTTTTCCATTATACTAGAAACGGGTTAAACTTCTTCACGCTAGATGTACTACTCACATGATGTAAGGGAGAGAAGAGAGATATTCAAAAGTTAAGAGAGATTCAAAAGATCTATACATTTCAATATTTCAATCACAAACTTTAACTTGTATTAGTATATTGTCAATACTCGCAAAAATTAAGAAGAGCTAGTTGATCGCTAAAAATTACGTCTAATTTTGAAAACAAACCTTAATATTGTTTCTATCATCCAAAAGCAAATTTTCAGGCTTTAGATCTCGGTGGCTAAAAAATTAAATGTTCTGTAAAATTCATAAAACAGAACTTTTATAGACATAGCAACTATTTAAATCTTAATGAAATACGCCTAAACCTGTTCTAGTAACAATTCCCCATGGACTGTTCTATACCGTTTGGTCATTAGTGAATCATTGTCAAATAAACTTGAGAAATAAATTACTCAAGTACCACCATGATACATGTCAAACAATTTTAAAGATTGGCTTTGGAATTGCAAATCAACAGGAGATGATAAATACTGACAAAATTTAGATCAAAAATGCTTTGAAACCAATTCTGTCTCATTATAATTTATTTTACAAACCATATGTTATGAGCATGACAGAAATCCAAAGCCGAAATAATTTGTCGAAAAAATTTTCGCGCTTCTTTAGCCATCAAACGGCCTTTTCGGACTAGGTAATCAAATAATTCACCGCCACTAACATGTTCCAGCAATAAATATCTGCAACGAATTTGTTGAAAATTTTCAAAAACAGATAATGCTTGAATGAAATTAAAAAGAAAACAAAAAAAGACATCGGTTACAAACGGCACGAAGCATATAAAAAATTGTTTTATTTAGAAAATAAGCCTTATCACAAGTATTAGTGTTTAAAAAATATAGATTTTTTCGTAGTTATATTTTCTTGAAAAAACTGGAATTATACCGCTTATTTTATGCATTGAAAGACTTTGAAAAAACACGGGTGAATATCTTGAAAAACTAACAGATATTTCTTGTTTTCATAAACGTCGTAAAGATGAAGCACATTTGGATGTTCAATTAATTTCATTATTGCAATTTCGCGTTCCACCTATAATATATTTATCAAGCTTTTTTCCCATTCATTAAATTTGGAGAATAAAGTAGAAACTTTCACGTAGAAATTTTCTGCATGTTTTCATTATGTTTGTTAATCTCGAGGCTGCATCATATATTAAACACTTTTGCATAAAACTAATGATGTTAAATATTAAAGAAAGAATTTTATTTCGTTGCCAGATAACACTGTGTTAATTTAATTATAAAAAAAAGGAAAAACTCTTGAACCAGGTTGAAATACTTCATTTACTTTCATGATGCAAACATCAGTGCAAAGAGTTACGAATCTTAAGACACAAATTTGTAATAAGTATTTAAAAGTTGAGCATATTAGCCTCTATGTTGAGTGTTTCAAATAGATATAAATCAACCTTTTGAAGAACTGATTCACTAAGTTTTTCCTTGTTAACAATTTTTACAGCAACTTTACGACCAGTAATACAATGCGTTCCCGTCTTCACAAGACCTGAAATATGCATTAATCAAAGATCAATAAACTCGTTCCTCTTCAGATTTTTAGTGTGAAATTCAACTTCTTGAAGAGTGTTACACTAGTGCCTGCTTGCGCTCGATGGTTCAGTTGAATTTATTCATAAAGTGTTGAATTTATTCACACAACCCGTTTTTCTGCGGGTTGGCAGGGGCGCAGAGTTAACAGTCATTTTCAACTTATCATCTGACATTCTATTAATCAGCACTTTTAAACGCTACTATAACCAACATATTAATAGTTCTTTCTTCCATTTCTTTGCTGTATCCGCCAGTCCAAAATGACTTCCCACATTTTTTTTTTCTGTTTGGAATAAAAGACTCAACATTTCACAGCAATTCACAAATAACATTGGCATTGCAGCTGTAGAAAATTACGTCTAATTTTACTGACTGTTCAATTTCATAAGATTTATAAGGATTTTTAAGCCACATAAAGCTAAACGTCACTTGAAATCAATTGTTTTTTATTTGGTTATATGAAAGACAGTTGTTATATTAGTAATTCATCAAAAACTAATGAAGACTGATGAAATGACATTGCAGCTACTCTTCCCCTTCCCTTCCACTCTTTCATTTTAAACAACCTCACCAATATACATTCGAAAACCGTTTACTTTTTTCATTTTATAATAATGTGGATACTTGTTAGTATATGACCACTTTCACTTCATTAACCGTTGACATTGATAATATTACATTTTTCATTTTATGCTTTACAATACCTTCTCTTATGGAACGGTAGCTGAAATTCGCATCAAATGCCACCTCAATTTTATTTGGACTTTTAATATCCAAAAATGTCTAATTTTTTTAAACTAATTTTGCAGCATATTTACCGAAAGAAAACACATTTTGGTCTTGTACTTTCTCACTATAACTTATTCCTTAGCGTATTTCTTCGTCAGTTTCTTAAAGTTTAGTACCATTCCCGAATACTTAACAATTGCTTTAATTTTCTCCGCTTAATTTTTACATGTTGAAGTGAAACTGCACACCAGTTTGAAAATAAAATTCCTCCCGAGAATTACTCCAAGTGGAAATATATCAATATTGAATGAAAGCATAAGCATGCATATGATTTTTTATTTCTGCAATTTGTTACAACATATTTCAAATGACTAAGTTAACACCGCGCATTTCATATCCCAATGTTTCCCTCCATAAATCATTTGTAACACAATATTTGGCAGGTACGTCTGTGGTGAAGCACTGTAAGTTTGACCTTTACGTTAGTTAGCTGTGTCTTCTCATTTGAACTGAGCAAGAACGGTTTTATTTTATTATTCTTTTTCTGAATTATCATTTAAAAAGCTGTCTTATTCTATCATATAGTAATGTAAAATCTTGTCCTGACAAAATAGAATGGAACGATTTGCGAAAATTTTGACTGGATGACTTAAAATTGAATTTGACTAGTCATGAAACTACGACAGTATTTAATTTAATTTTAGATAAATAAAAAATTGACACATACTGTTTGATTTGATAATAAAATTTTGTAATCAGTAAACCCAGAATAAATATTAGAAAACTAAGGAAGGACGTATTTGTAGGTAAATGAAGTTAATATTCTCGATTCTAAATAAATGAAAGAAATGAAAATTCTACTGTAAAGTTAAATTTTCGTTAGATAAGTAAATTAACGATCGAAAGCAACATAAAGTAAATTTGACAGAATGTTTAGCATTGACTATTTGGCCACTGCACACATGAAGGATGTGTAGTAAAATGAAACGCCGCTACAAAATAATTTTGCGTCCAATGTGATTATTTCACTAGTGAGACAAATGGCATAAAATTTACCATATCTTTTGAGCTATAAATTCTTTTTCATTGCCTAATTCCTTACACATATTTTTTTATGGCTGACGATCAGTGAAAAAGATATGGGCGACCAATAAAGGACGGGGTCAATGATTCTCTTTAAGTGTAGCACGGAGGCGATATATAGTCTTAAGTGCTAAGCTTTTTCTAAGTGATATTTTGTAGGAGTAGAAAGCATATAGATGCAAAATAAATAAAAGTAAGCATCAAACGAGGGAAAATACTTTTCGAATTATTAAAATGAAATATTGCAAAATAAACCTGTAAACCATCACCAAATCGAAATAATTAGTAGTGGCTATTTATTTCACTTTTTAGCGGTAGTAAAATTTTACTCCTTTCATTTGGCACTTATAAAACGCATGTGTTTATTTACTCCCACAAGTTTTTCGAATTATTTTACTTTCGTTTTTTTTTTTTGCATCAACATTTATACAGTGGCCACTATGACTGCACCTGGTTTCAAATAGTGCCATTATTTGAAACTATAACATTTAAGGCTTGACCAGTGATCTACGTCAGATGCAGCTATTAGAAAGTAATTTTTAAACAGCTCTTATTTATGTGATTGAAATGGTCTAATAAATAAATTTTTAAACTAGAAAAATATGTTTAAACGTAATATGCGATGCCTATTACCCTTGTTCATTTTGCACTTAACTTTAGTAGGTCGGTGTTTTAAACCCATCCAATTAGCAAAATAATATTCCTTAGTGATTTTGAGAAGTCTTCTCTCATACCTCAACTCCGGAATAAAAACATCCCGAAATAAACGCAATTTTTTACTTTTCATTTCATGCTTTCAATTTCCATAGTTTTTCATTTCTTCTAACTATTTCTAGTCACTTCTAATTATTTCTCAATGCTGTGTTCTCTCAGCTATTTTTACTAAATTGCTAAAATATTAAACTGAATTTTTAAGAATGGAAGGGCTTCGAGTTTTATTAACAGCTAACATTTCGTGAGCTATCATTAAATCCCTTCTGCAACATTATGTAAATTACTTGAGTGCATGAATAAAATTCCAAAATTACATCATTTTAAAACGACATAAATAATTAGAGACAAACGACTTGTTAAAGTGAAAGATACAATGGAATAAAATATTGTTTTCGCTAATTTCTAATCTACAACGATTAGTAGGTAATGAATAACTAAGTAACCCTTCCTGAGGAAACTGGACCAATTTTCAATTATTAACAATTACTCAGAGACATCATGCTAATTTGGAATGAACTATACTGATGAGTAATCAAGGTATTCATATCATTATTTGTATATATCACTCACCGTACCGTTGGACGCATAATGAATTTTAGGATCTTTAGGTCTACTAATTTAAATGTCCAACTGCATGATTGTGTTAAAATCTATTCTCATATAATTAAATTATATAATTAGCAACAGAGTGCATTTTTGAAATAATATTTGAAAGTGCTGTTTCAAAAGTTCACTTCTCATCCTAGAATTGAACAGTTATTGGTTGGAAGGCAAAGTTGAATTAACTTAAGTAAACAAATTGAAGGACATACCCGTCTGACCTTTTCCAAGCGTTTTTTCAATTTTATACGGTCCACAGTACTGCGCCTGGTGGGAAAGCGCTGCTACTACAGTTGTATTCGTTGCACTACCATTACTTGCCGCTGTCATGTCTATAATTAATTAATGAGGAATGAGTAGTAATTTTTTTTAACTTTTTATAAATTAAACAGGAGATTCAAAAGTTTTATGAGAAGATTAGCAGAGAGTTATTGAGAAGTTGCTTTAAAAAAAAAAAAAAAAAAAACTAGGAAGTAAAACGCAACGCGTAGTCAAAAATGTCTGACTAACAATGTACTGCTATTTTATTGCCCATAATTGGATAAAAATGCAAAAAAGATTAAAATAAATATCTTAGAAATATAAATTAGTGTAGATAGTAATGGAAAAGAGATAAGCATAAAAAGCCTTATTTAGGTTGACCTGTTTTATGCTAACCTGTTTTCACTTATCACCTCTCATAATAATTGCACAAAAACACAGTGTTGAATACGTTTCCAAGTTATAAGTATACTGCTTTCAAAATTTCAGGAAAATCTCAGAAACCTAAAGTAAGAATGTTCCAGAATAAAAGCTGCTACTGATTGAAAGTGAGAATGCTATGTATGAATAACAAAAGTTTACTAGTTAGGGGTTGACATAAATGGTATAAGGATAACAGCTATTTATGATGAGAAAAAAAAAGGAAAACTTGAAACCGAATAAAATAAAACATTAAGAATGTTATTTTAAGCCTAATTTATCGTCCACTGAAATTCATCTTCTCTTTAAAAGATTTCAATTAAAGTTCAAAAAATTTTCCAAGTGACGATGTAAACTTTCTTCAAAGAAAAAAAAAAAAAAAACAGACAAAGCTGCTTAAAGGTTTACTACTAACATAGCATTTTATATGGTGCCATCATTTTTTATGTTTTAGCAGTGATGTAGAGAACTGTGGCTCAATAATCTCATATTTCTCGACAAGATTTCATCAATGTCCTCCTTGCCCAAAATTTTGCGGTTTCATTGCCTATGCACATCAACATCTCAGGAGCTTTGCTGGGTTCGTCAACTTTTTTAAAAAGATTTTACATTTTAAAATTAAAACTTTAAAACCTCAAAGATTCTACATTTTAAAACTTAAGAAAAAAAAAAACCTGTAATTGATACTACACCTTATACGGCTTTTTCATGACCTAGGTAATTATTTCTATTCGTCCGAGACATTTTATGATCCCATTAGAGGACAACGACACTTATCCATTATAAAATATTTGGAAGTTCATGACTCAATTTTTCACTTCAAACGTCAGGAAAATAAGGAAATTTCACGATGCTTATTAAGATTACAATAAAAATTCCGAAAATTTCACAAACTTTTGTTCTCAGTCTAACCTAAGAATTTTCACTCCATACTTTTGTGGTTTGAAACTGAAGTCACTTCCTTTAAATTAATTTCAAATTAACTGTAGCCCATCGAACTATTCTTTGAATGGCGTTTAGGTTACAGTTAAAGTGGTAGTAAAATTTCATCTTCTCTTAGGAATCAAGCTATTGAAACAGCTTCAACCATGTCACACTATTTTTCGCCCTGCAACAATCAGCGTTCAATTTTCCAATTTATCGAAAAATGAATATTAAAGTATTTTCTCGTCTTTTCTTCCTTTCATTATCCTATCTGGCCTATTTATAAATTCTTATAGTAAAATTTAAGTTCCTAATTCACCTATAAGAATTTGTGAAATCTTAAGACCTTTTGAAGGATGAAAATGCCTTAAAATAAAAGAAACAAGATACCGGAATTCTAAAAATCTGTTGTGTAAAATTTATGAGATTGGAAAACGCTATTTTTATGCTGCTGCCCCTCAGAATATTTCGATAATGAATAGCTGGACAGTTGTTTATACATGTATAAAACGGCAGGGAAAAAAAAGAAAGGTGATGTAACTTCACTACAAAATGATTAGCTGGGAATTGATCATTTTAGGTTTACACAAATAGAAATATCTTCTGTAAAAGTTTCGCCTGAAAGAGAGAAGACGGCTAACTGTTCGTATTGCTGGAAAGACAAGAGGAACAGATAAAAAATGCACAAACACTCCAGCAATTAATGGAAAAATGTTGTTTTCTCAATATTCCCTACTGAGCGAATTCGTCAATCAAAATTTAAGGCCTTCAATTTCTCAGATAAGGTTGGGAATTTGGTAATAAAGTAGGGAAATCAATCAGTCACTTTTTTCTGATAGTAGTTTAGATGACAACGGAAATGAGAAAGGGATACTCGGAAGATTGGTAATTGTTAACAAAACGGCTGCTTTATTACTGATATTGTGATAATTACAAGTGCTCATTATACTACATGCTGCTATGAGTATTTCGAGTTTGATATCAAACTGAAGCTAGAAAAATGTCTAGATTTCGAGAAAATATGCAAAAGCTAAATTCGATCATTGCTGTAGCTAATAAACATTAGAAACATAACCCCAACTAATCAGTCTGAAATGTCTATTTACGTAATTTCCCTCCAAAAGAAATGAAATTAGAGCTATCCAGTAAGCAGAAATACGGTCTAGTTCGAAGAATTTGATGAAATCTAATTTGTTCCTAACTAAATGAAAACACTTAAATAGTTCCAAGAATTAGTTTTAGAATTTAAAATTTGTGAGAGGAGCTGTTTCTATAATATATTTCAAAGCCAATAGATTCTTTCATTATGTCCAGTGCAAAAAATTTTTGTTAGAATTCACTTTCTGATATTCACATCCCAAATCTCAAGTCTTTTCCTCCCCATCTCATCTTCTACCTTCCCAACAGTGACAAGTACAGATGGATTCGGAAGTTTTCCTGCATAGCTTTGCAAATTTTTTAGGAAATGCAATGGGTATAAAGTTATTAAAAAATAACGAATGTGGAATGACCGGTCGATATATTGTACAATTACTTATATACAAAAAAAAAAATATTCTTTCAAACGAATTGTAACGGATTGAAAAAGTATTCTTTAGTTACGAAGTTTGTTTGTTTTTAAAGGATTACAAATTAGAGAGAGAGAGAGAGAGACAGTAGAAAGAGAACAAAACAGAGTTCTTTTTTCTTAGGAACAGCATCAAATGATACAAGAAATGCAACAATTCACATGTGAAATAAATGAGCTTTATGTGAAGGATTATTATGTACTTGTTCAGTCTACCTATGTCCACTCTTTTCCCTTTTCTAGTTATCTTTAGTGGTTAGCTTGTCCGTATAAAACTTAACCACGGCAGCCTAAAATTAGTATCAGGTTAATCTGCTTGGAAACTCTTAGGACAATCATTCCCACAGCAACGCAAGCATCGAAATCGAATCTCTAGCCACTTTTGTATTTCCATAATAACTAAAAATATATGGTGATCAAGCGTCATTGTGAATAACTTCGAAGTATCGTATTTCCCATGTAGAAATATTCTTCTGTCCTACAATATTATCCCATCATCTGGAGATGCTCAATGAATGGCGGATAATAATGCTTACAATCTTGCTTGCTCTGTTAATTGCTTGCAAATGAGAAGGCTTACTGTCTTCAGTATTACAACTCATCCTTGCATTCAGTTCATCGTTAACAGCATTTAGTTTAAGATTGATTTCGCCAATCACCTGCAATAAAAGGAACACGTTATAGCAGATGAAAACAAACCAATAACTACAATCTGTTTGTTGGCTGAACAAATTGATACTTCGCTCACATCATAAATTTATTGATTGAATTTACCTCTTTGATAGCGTCAAACATGGAACGCGAAACGGACACTCAGTGACAATATATGTTAGGAGACGGGCCACCTCAACAATCTCATTTTTCTATCCGTCGATTCAAGCTTGAAAATTTGCTAAAAATTATGAAATAACATCTTTGAAAAACGAGTCACTTCATAGACAAAAAGGGGCAATCAATTTAATTTTTAATAGATTGATATTTTCAGTTAGACGAACTGGACGATCAGCAACCGAGCAAGTTTATAACATACATCATACTACCTTTTATAATAGGGAAATTCCAGCTCATAGGATTTAACGCGCAAATAGCCAGAAAGCATAAAAGCCGCAGAACAGTAACTGCAGAACTGGTAGATGTTAACAACACCTAAGAACAATCTAAAAGGCAGTACAGTAGCAAAATTTAATGGTAATGTAATAGAATTAAGTAGTAGGGTATTAAAAGAAAAAAGAAATACGCTGAATCAGTTGCACTCTTTATTTAATTTCTAGGATAAGGATGACACAAGGGACTGAGGACTAAGTTCAGGTTTGAGACACTGTCATCTTTGGGAAGAGCGATAGCTATAATACTGAAAAAGGCTTAGAAGATGAGATCAAAAAGTGGGTCACAAAGGGCTGTTGGGAATGCAATGCTGTTTGAACGCAATGAATAGTTGATTGCATGTTTGAGCGCTGTTGGATGTATCGCTCCAACAACTAGGACTTATGGAGAGGGTTTCGTGGAAAAGGGAGAGAGGGAGTGGCTAAGGGATTGCATGGAAGCGGAAAGAGGTTTCCCTTGATGGAAATGTGTGGCTTAGAGGCCAGAAACAGTGGCGCAACTCTATCCCTCTGTGCATCTTTTTGTCGCAAGCCTAGTGGTGCTTGTCATTACTCCATCTTGTCATGCCTTTGTTGACTGGCGAACATGCCCTATTGATTGCTGCTACTGCAACCTGCGACATCTTAGAAAAAGCGTTGAGTGTGAATGTACACAGGGTGACTATAGGCTTACCACTCTTCCTTCAGGGCCATTCCGTAATGCTCCGATCTTTGTAGTACTGCTTCAATCGGCACAGTGCTGACAATTAGTAAGCCGTTTCCACTGCTATACTTCTTCATTTTTGAAACTGACTGGATGATAAGACGTTTGAGTATGCAGGATTGCATTTACTGCCCTGAACTCCATCTGTGATCAGGACAAGCTCATGTTGTCACTATTTTTACCTTACTTTACCTTTTACTCTGTAAGTGCGACTGCCTCAAGGTAAGCTATTTGAAGTGCAAATGATTAGTGCATAGTTAATCAGTTATTAACAATGCACAAATCATCCCGTTCGGAATGATCATATTCTCGACCTATTTATCTTTTGTTGATTTGATAAAATACTACTAGTCATGGCAGCAGAAAGCATCTGGTTACCGAATTTGATTAGATATTTGCATCTTCAATTCTGCTTAACACAAAGGTTTTTAAGTTTCGCTTCTAATAAACTCTTTTAATAAAATATCATTATATTCATTTCGAAAACACTGCCATACTTTGTTTGGTTCATCAGTTACATGTCTGCTTTGCAATCTGTCATCTGGCTTATCTAGTTTGTCAGAATTCTAGCGAGGACTGAGTATTTACTTTTATAGTAAACATTTCTGTGGTTTAAAAAGGATCGATTAAATTATGGACTTTGATGAATACCGTTCTGGCTATTGGTAGTGGAAATGAATGCTTACCGATTATAAATGTTAAATTTCATGAATTATATGATAATTTATCGCAGGAGTATGAGAGTATCAGAAAGTACTGATATATGTTTACTTTTACTCTGAAGGAAGTTCCTGGGCACTGTACATCAAACAAATTTCCGGTAGGACTATCCATTCCATCTAGACAACAAAAAATTGGAAATTATGCTCATGAGTTTTTTTCTTCATTAAAATATCCTTAAGTTTTTGAAATCAGTCATGCTTTGTTTGTTTATTCGAAGTTATGGAAATATAAAAGGGAAGAAATTTTTGTGACGTTTTTTCACACAAGAACTTTTGTGATAGTAACTAATTCAGCAAGAAAATAACATGGCAATTCATTTTGCTAAATTTACTTTTTTTTTTATTTCGTCCTGAAACTTCTCAAACATTTGCAAATGAAAATTTTTGGGCTTTTCATGTGCATTTCATTAATAACTCATCAAATTGAGAAATCATCAACATGGTTCCACACTTGTTTCTGCTAGTATTCGGCATTTTTTGAATACCATGAATTAAATCCGCTTTTGTTAAAGGGCCAACATTATAATTATTTTCTAATTCACATTGATTAGAGCACTATGCCGGATGCAAATGATATTTTTACGATAAACATAAAAGTACCATTGACTGATGATGAGGCCACTAAGGAAGGAGCATTGCTCGTATTGAAGGAAATCAAACCAACATGGAAACGTGAGCTGATTTCATTCAAAGTTAGTGTTTATTTCTAAGTTTTCGAATTTCTAAAAGAAACTTCGAGAAATTTCATTTTAAGAACGTAAATTTAGGCTTTCACAGTTGGGATAACGAATAAAATCCTATGTGCAACGTACAGTCCAGCAAATGGTACCACACACAAGGAGCGATTACTGTTCAGAATTTACGGGAATAATACGGATAAAATTATTGACAGGTATTAAAGCTGAAAATTCTCAAGTTAGGGTTTTGGATGTTAAAAAAAGTGGTATCATTACTAGGCGGTATTATTACTGACAGCTAGATCTATCTAATCGACTTAACAGTTTTGGTTTAGCAGTCATTCCTTTTTATGATCTTATTTTTTCGAAAAATTGTTGAAGTATGAACTGATTCATGACTTTTACAATAGATTTATTCTGCTATAATGAGAATACATAGTTTGAGGTTAAAACTAGATAGTCTTAAAAACTTCTTTGCTATTAGGAATTTAATTCAAGGAATAAGGAATTCAACAACTGGTTATACTTGGCATCACATGGATGTGCTGCTCAAATATATGCAAGGTTTTCCGGCGGGATTGTAAGCGGTTTTCTTCCTGGAAATACGCTTACTGTTGACAACGTACGCAATGATACGATTGTTGCGTATGTTACTTACTTGACTTTTCACTTTTCCTTTTTATTAAATAGCAATTGTTACAATGGCATATATAATAGATATGTTCATATTCAAATTAGCAGTCTTATTCATATTCAAATTAGCAGTCTTACTAGCTTAAATTTCTCTTTAATATCAAATATACATTCTTTTTTGAATTTTAAGTTTTTTTTTTTTTTGAAGGTATTCAAAAGTGGGGAGATAAGAGTTGAGCTATCATGTTTATCTGTAAGTCTATCTCAAATTTTGCTGGATGGTAAGCTGAAAAAAGAAACAACAATTTATCCTAGATTGTAATTTAAAATTCTAAATATATATAAATACGTACTTTTTCCTTAAATATATGATAGAACTATTTAAATATATAAATACGTATTTTTCTTAAAATATTATAGGACTGCACTGAGACAAACAAACAATTTGAAACTTTTATTGATACTCCTTGATTCGCAATGATGGATATTCTTCTCCTAGAACCAAAATTATTCGATTTCCCACAACAATGATACTTTCAGGAATACTTGTAAATCACTTTCAAGATTACACAAATTAAAACCGAACACTGGGGATGAGGCAAAACCAACACTGTTTATCAAAATCGGACAGTTTTTGGCAAATTTCTCCGCTCATTATGAGGTCATTTTGCAGTTACTCTCAATGTTTGGCTAATTTATTAATTAATTTGGGATAAGAATTGAACAAAGACACTGATTTTTACTTCACTATTTCTCAGAGCAAGCGAAAGCAAGAAAGATATGATAAATTCTTCAAACAGCGAGAGATTTCCTTCTTGCATGACTTGCACCGTCTACGAGACATTATTCAACGACGGCAATCTAAAGTTGTTTTTTGCCATAACGACCTTCTAATCCATAACATTATTCATGATGACAAAACAGGTTCACTTTTTTAATTTTCATGGATAAATCTAAAGTAAAGCTACAAAACGCCTCCATAATTAATTAAAATGTTTTACGTAATAAGTAGTAACTGTTCTGTTGCAGTAATTAGACTTTTCTGATTGATCACAAATATATCCTTGAAATTATATGAAAGTGAACGACTGCACCAGTTCGATATTTTCTACTCAAGCTGTATTTTAATAAGCTTTAGTACTTTTTGAAAACAAATCAATTTATTTTTTCTCTCTTTCTGCTCACAATTTATATATGTTGCCATTTCTTGAACTACTTTAAAATTCATTCTCCACTTCAGATTCAATAAGTTTTATTGATTATGAGTATGCTGATTACAATTATCAAGACTTCGATATAGCTAATCACTTTTGCGAATATGCTGGTCAGTTTATGATCCTACTTACGTAGCTTGGAATCAGATCAAATGGTGAGAAAAAGCAACAACCGGCTCAATTAGCTGACGGCGGAAACACATGAGTGCGTTTCCAGAGCATATGAAACTATTTTAGCTGGACGTTGAACATTTACTCCAGAAGAATTTTTATTCGTTTATTTATTTATTTAATTAATTTATTATTATTATTGTCGTTACCTTTATTATATTATCGTCATTGTTATTTACTTAATTAATGTATACATATATACTTATTTTTTTTAATTTATTCGTTTATTTAACCTATTTATTAATCAGTGTGTCTCTATACTTCACAAAAATAATATTTGATATTAAAATACTTCGAAAAAATTGAAGCATTATATCAAATGAATATTATTATTGAGAGCTTATGGCTTGAAGTGGCAGGAAAGTTGCTATATGTATGTTTAATTAATGTTCAACACAAAACAATACCTTAAGATGTTTTCGATTTAAAGGTGTGGAGGATTTTAATTATTCTCGATGTCCTGATAAGGAATATAAACGCGAATGGATAACGAAATATTTGATATATTATCTAGAAAGGAAACCAACGAAAGATGAAGTAGACAATCTCCTAGATGGAAACAATATTTTTGAAGCGGTATTTTTAGACTAATGTTTTATTTATGAATTAATAATAGGATGTTCTTTTAAGGACTGAGAATAAACTGAATTCTACGAAGCAAAATTTGGTGAAATATTTCAGGCCGCTCATTTCTTTTGGGCTCTTTGGGCCTTGGTGCAGTCTCAAATTTCAACCATTGATTTTGACTATCTAGAGTAAGTTTTGTAAGTTGAATTAATATTTCCTTTTTATATTCTTTGTGAAGCAAGCTTCGGGAGTTGAAGACTGTGATGGATCGAGATATCAGAGTAACTCTCGACTAGAGGAAATACATTCACATTTACTTTTCATTAACTTTATTGTTATTTTTAGTTATGCAGTTCAAAGGTACGAACTCTTCCAGAAATGTATGCTTAAATGTGATTAAAGGTAGTAACTTTGCAACGTTTTTTTTTGAATAACGGATCATTTTTTTTATTTGGATTTCATCCAAAAATTCTCAACCAGTATATTCTGATTACTAAATAGATTTAATCCATGCAGATTTGGCACTTGAATGTTTCTTTTCACCTGTTTACTATCTTGTCTACTGTTATAATGAATAATAGCGTTTGAAGATCTTAATAATATTACATACGAAAGCAATCTGTATTCAGTGGTTTCCATCATGCTTACATGAAGTATATATATATTAAAAGGAAAATGGACAACATCTGTTACTTTCAAGGATTATCTGTCGAAATAAATTATCATAGAGTAAACAAGAAAGGAAAAAAGGGGGAGATGACTAAATATAATAAATGTCAGGTCGAAAACAATTTATATAATAACAATAGTGCGATAAATATGTGAGAGCATTTGTAATATAGTTTATTAGATATAATGATTAAAAGATTCACGATTTTCGAAGTTGGCGATATATTGATTATTTGAACTTTCATTCCTTTATGCAAATGTAACATGGACAATTTTTATGTTAGTTAAATGAATATAATGTAGACAATATAAAGAATTGTTAATAGACTGCCGTGATTATAGAATTACTAAAATTCCAAGTCATGACGTAACATTAAGTGTGTTAATTTTCTGCAAGATCAAACCACTAGGCTTAATCAGCTCAGTAAACTCGTTATTTTACATTGTCGTATTCAGCAGTAACATTGTTAAA